GAGCCTCACTAGCGGGTGCCCGGGGCCGCCTCCCCCTTCCGCGCTCGACACGCCGCCGCCATCTTGTTTACCTCCCTCCCCCTCCCTGCGCCGCCGCCGCCGCGCACGCCCCGCTGCAAGACACGCCCTCTCGCGCCGCCGGCGTGGGTGCCCGTTGGCTGGAGCGGCAGGCCCTACCCCCGCGGCCCGCCCCACTGCGGCTTCTCATTGGTCCGTTTAGACCCGGGCGGGCGCCCGAGCGGGGATTGGCTCCCGCTTGGCCCCGCCCGGTAGCGGGATAAGGCTTGTTCATTGGCCCACAGAGGCGCCCGTCACCGGGAGGGGGCGGGACGCGGGCGTGGGGAGGCGGGGCCGCGGCTTTGACCTCCGAGGGCTTTGGGGTGGGGGTCAGGGGACACGAGCGCCAACGGCCTGCTCGGCGGACCCGCGAAGTGGGCCCAGCCCTCGTGGGCTGAGACTGCTGCTCGGAGGCCTTGGAGGCGCCTTCTAAAGCCCCTCCCCCAGAATCCCCTTTGGGGCGAGGTCAAGGGTCAAAAAGTAGCCCAAAGTGGCCAACTCAAGGCAAACATCCTTTTTTAAGCATCTGTCTGGCCAATCAGGGAGACAGATGCTTAGCACACTCTCTGCCCTGAAGGAACTCACGGGCTAAAGCTCAGAACAGGGCTGGGATGGTCCTAGCGAAGTGCTTTTGGTGAAAAACGGAGAAAGTTGGCAAAGTATGACTTGAAATTAAAAATAGCTCTTTCTGCCCAAGTCCTGTATTTTCTACCTTTCTGCTCCTTAAACCAAATCCTTCGCAGTCGAGTGGACTCCTACTCATGGCGTCCACTCATAGCGACCCCACATGTGTTAGGGTAGAACTGTGCTGCGTAGGTTTTCCATGGCGGATTTTTTTGGAAGTAGATCACCAGGCCTTTCTTCTGAGGCGCCTTTGGGTGGACTCGAACCTCCGACCTTTTGGTTAGCAGCGGAGTGTGTTAACTGTTTGCACCACCCATTAGCGATAGATTAGTACTAGTTTGCTCAAGCTTTCTATAAGTGGTGCTAAAACCAGACACCCGTGTGCAGAAGATTGAATCTAGACACAGACTTTCCACCTTAGGCAAAAAGTAACTGAAAATGGGTCACAGACCAAGTTGTGAAACACAAAACTATGCAACTTCTAGGATTGACACAGTGGCTGCAACAATGGGCTCAAACATAACCATCATGAGGATGGCGCAGGACGGGGCACTTAGGGTCGCTATGAGTCGGAACCGACTCGCAGCACCTAACAGCAACTAATCACTAAGAATGATCTGGTAAGCAAGGTGAACACCGTGCTTACCTTGCCTATTGGATAATCCACCTCTGCTTCTAGGAAATAAACTGCTTGTCTTGTGGGAAACTCCTGCAGCTGCTCACTGCCTGAAGTAATTTCAACTCTGTCACCAGTCCCTTCTCTGTGTTGGACTGCAGTCTTTGACAGGTCAGGTGGAAGATGGTGACAGGCTAGGAGAAGGGCTCAGCCTCAGCGTCTTAGTCTCCGGGGGCTGTCGTATCCAAGTACCCCAAAGCAGGTAGCTTATGAGCCCAGAAATGTGTTCTCTCACAGTCTGGGGACCAGAAGCCAGAAACCAAGGTGTGGGCAGGGCCACACTCCCTCTGGTGCTGTAGGGAAGGAACCTTCCTTGTGTCCTCCAGCTTCTGGAGCCCCGGACATTTCTTGACAGTCCTGGGCTTCTAAATGCCTCTGCACATGTTGTTTCATCCTGTTTGATCCTCAAGGCCCCGGGGTCGTGAAAAACAGACATGCTTGACAGTCGTTAAGAACTTGGCTGCTATCCAAAAGGTGGGCAGTTCAAATCCGCCAGCCGCTCCTTGGAAACCCTATGGGAGCAGTTCTACTCTATCCTATAGGGTTGCTATGAGTCAGAACCGATTTGATGGCACCTAACAGCAACAACAAGGTTGGTGGTTGGAACCTATGCAGTGGTGCTATGGAAGAAAGGCCTGGCAATCTGCTTCCGTAAAAAATCGCAGCCAAGATAACTCTAGGGAGCACAGTTCTACTCTGTAACACGTGGGTGGCCATGAGTCGGAATCGACTTGAGGAGTTTGGGTGAGTTTCTTTTTGTGTGTGTGACTGTTACTGTGTCTACTCTCCCCTTTTGTAAAAGGCCAGTCAGAAGGGACCAGGACACACCTCACTGTGGTATGACCTCATGTTACATCTTCAAAGAAAGAACCTAGTTCTGTGAACACAGGCATGGGTACAGGGGTTAGGACTAAACATATCTTTTGGTGAACAGATTCTACGTGTGTTATCAGGTGCCACCAAATCCTTCTGACTCATAGCAACCCCATGAGAAGAGTGGACCTGCCCCATAGGGTTTCCTAGGCTGTCATCTTTACGAGAGCCGGTCACCAGGCCTTTCTTCCGCAGTGCCTCCAGTAGGTTCCAACCACCAACCTTTCGGTTTGCAGCTGAGGGCCTCACCGTTTCACCACCAGCCTCCTTATTCTCCCTGCGACGTTAGGCAAAGGCTTGGAAGTGGGATCTCACGGGAGCAGGGAGGGTCTTTAGCTGAGTTGGGGCTGACGCTTCAGAGGCTGATATGATCCCAGAAGCCATGGGGAAGCCATGGAGGGGGTTGTGTTTGTTTGTAAGTCTTATTTTCTCTTCTCAAACTAATACAAAAACCAAACAACATGTCACCGTCCCGTTGATTGTGACGCATAGCGACCCTATGAGACAGAGGAGAACTGCCCCACAGTGTTTCCAAGGAGCAGCTGGTGGATTCAAACTGCTGACCTTTTGGGTAGCAGCTGAGCTCTTAACCACCGCGCCACCAGGCCTTCCAACTAGTACAGGTTTGTTCACAATAACTCAGCTAGCCTTCCCAGAGGAGGGTAGCGGGGGTCCAGTGGTAGAACCCTTGCCTTCCATGCAGGAGACCTGAGTTCAATTCCCAGCCAATGCACCTCACGCGCAGCCTCTACCCATCTGTCAGAGGGCTTGCTTGTTGCTGTGATACTGGACAGGTTTCAGCGGAACTTCTAGATTAAGATAGACTAGGGAGAAAGGCCTGACAATCTACTTCCAAAAATCAGCCGACGAAAACCCTATGGATCACAGCAGTCCAATCTGCAACTGGTCATGGGGCTGGCACAGGGATGGGCAACATTCAGTTCCATTGTGCATGGGGTCGCCACAGGTCGGGGGCCAACTCAACAGCAGCTGACATCCACGTTTCCTGTGCCAGGCGCTGTGCCAGCTGATTCCGTATGTTCTCCCATGAAGTCAGCCTGGCAACCCTGGATCCCAGACCCCTAAACAACCCTCCTCTACAGATAGCAAAGACAGCGAGACTATGTCTCATGTACTTTGGACATGTTGTCAGGAGGGACCAGTCCCTGGAGAAGGACACCATGCTTGGTAAAGTAGAGGGTCAGTGAAAAAGAGGAAGACCCTCAACGAGATGGACTGACACAGTGGCTGCAACAATGGGCTCAAACATAGCAACGATTGTGAGGATGGTGAAGGACCGGGCAGTGTTTCGTAGGGTCGCTGTGAGTGAGAACCGACTTGATGGGGAGGAGCCCCAGTGGCGCAGTGGTTAAGAGCTCAGCTGCTAACCAAAAGGTGGGCAGTTCGAATCCACCAGCTGCTCCTTGGAAACCCTATGGGGCAGTTCTGCTCTGTCCTGTAGGGTTGCTATGACTTGGAATTGACTCAACAGCAATGGGTTTGGGTTTATAGATGGGGAAGCCCGGGGCTCAGTCACTGTCTGAGGGTCATGCGGCCACTGTAACAAATAATCACATACTAGGTGGCTTAAAATAACAGAAATCTGATCTCTCACAGCCTGGAGGCCAGAACTCTGAAACTGAGGTGTGGGCAGGGCAGCACTCCCTCCAGAAGCTCTAGGGGAGGAGCCCCCCTTGTGTCCCCCAGCTTCTGGTGGTTGACGGCCATCCTTGGCTTCCTTTGACTTGTGGCTGCATCCCTCTGATCTCTGCCTCTCGGTCACATGGCTGCCATGCCTCTGTCTGTGTCTCTTATAAGGACACCAGTCATTGGATCAGGCCCCGCCCTACTCCAGTATGACCTCATCTTAACTCATACCTATGCAAAGACCGTATTTCCAAATAAGGTCTCATAACGGAGGTTTCAGGTGGACATTAATTTTAGAGAACTACTGTTCAGCCTAGGCTAGTGTCCACTGCAGAAAGAGCCCTTGAAGGTCAAGTAAAATACCACCTCCTCCAGGAGGTCCTCCCTGATCATTCCCTACAAGTAGATCTCCAGTTTGATTTCCTCCTTAGCTCTTGTCACCATTGGAAATTGTCTCATTGGTTTATTTCTTCACCTGTTGTTCTCTGGTCTCCTGCACTAGACGGGGAGCTTTCCGGGGCCGGGGCCGGGTCTGCCTTGGTCACTGCCTGGGGAGCTCTCCGGGGACGGGGCTGTGTCCTCTGTGCTTTCCAGTATGACAGCCACTGGCCAACGGAGGGTCCTGGACAGAGCTGGAGAAAAACGTAGAATAAAATCCAAACTCACAAAAAAAAGACCAGACTTACTGGTCTGACAGAGACTGGAGAAACCCCGAGACCATGGCCTCCGGACACCCTTTTAACTCAGTGCTGGAGTCACTCTTGAGGTTCATCCTTCAGCCAAAGATTAGACAGGCCCATAAAACAAACAATAACACA